CACAGATGAGTTATATGATCGAGGATGTTTTCTCGTTCTGCCCTACGATATGTGCTATCTTGACTCTCAAAAGGGTTATCACCGGTCAATGTACGTACGGTACCTCCGATCTCGAATAATTCTTCTGCTGTGCTTTAGTAGCTTTATAGACTCGCATCATCCAGTAAGTCGTGCCTGCCTCTTGAGTCCACTTCAAACAGCAGGTGTGTAGTCTTCCATACTTCCTTATCTTCTCCTTCATTCTGGATGACCGAATGGTGCCAGTATTACGACTATAGATCAGCATTAATGATATCATCGTCTTCCTTTCCTCGAAAAGCCTTCGTTGACTTCTCTTTTGTAGATCATCTCTAATCAAATCATGGATGTCACTGACCAGCGAGCCAACTAATATACGATTTGTCTAAAATGTCTCGGACGATTGAACGTTTTGGTGTTGTTTAACTTTTCATTGACAAGACGACAAGCTTAAAGGGTAACGTTTTCGATATTGACAGGCCACTTCTATCTCGTTCCGAGGTTTAACCTCGCGGTTCGGTTCAACATTGTAATTGCTACTCTGTGGGCATGCAAGGGCATGCATACATATATGGAGTGTATATCTCGCATGTTCACGGCAGTATGGTTCCATATATCCACAATTTCTAGTAGCCGCTTCTAATCTCGCAAGACGCGCGATAAAGTGAAAAATGGCATTGTGGGAGATTCGGTGTTCGTGTGGTGGTATCGTTGTGCCTCCACTGAGTCCACTTCTCATAAATCCCTGTTTTGTCGACTCCAGTTTTACTTGCATCTGCGTTTACATCTGCATCCGCATCTGCATCTGCATCTACCTTCACATCTCCTCCTTTTACATCAAGTTATCAGCATATATGTAACCTTAAGACGCGGACCACTTCCGTTGAATACAGTCCACATTAACTGCGAGACACGGGGATCACCGATACAAAGTTTGAATATTAAAGCTTCTCCTATTCGAGCTTCCAGCATATAACTAGAATGTATGTGTCTGGCAGACAGGTAAGCGATGACACACTGATATTTAAGATTTCTGTAATCAAAATTTCGATCTTCCTTATGTCGCGTCATCATAGCCAGAAGCACGAAGGCGGCTACTACTCACTTCTAGGCTTCAGTCATAGGGGTTACAGTAATGTTGTGCTCAAAGATCTCCATCGGAGTATCTAGACTCCACGATTAGCAAATTTTAGGTCAAGCTGAAATGAATTGACCAGCTGTGACCTAATGGGACCTTGGGGGTTTTGCATTCACTCTATAAGTACTCGGACCGCGGCCTGTGCTACGATGATTCTACAGCAAATATCGTGGCTCATCTCTTTCCCAACAAACCCAAGCTACACTCATCCCACAAACTCCAACATCTTCCTTCATCACACAACCTACCCACCCGCTTATACATACCGACCCCACTTCCAGAACAGCTCACCCCTTTCTCCCGACCCGAAAACTTACACAACACATACAGGACTAGTAAGTACTATTAAAATCTATGTATACAACATTTTGGGAAGTTCCGATTGTCATCTTGTATTTGTCTTTGTATCTTCCTTCCGTGTTACAAGTCATGCAGCGCCCCTATGGTGTTTCATATATATACCGGCTGGGAGGTCACTGTACCCCGGATTGTCATTGTACAACCTCTTGGCGGCGGTTTGGCGATTTGTGTAACTGGTTTGGTGGTGAAATAGGGTTTGCGGCGTATCAATAAGTTGAAACGGAACGGGATGGATCTTGAGCAGTTGAATTGAATTGGAGTGAGGGAATACACTGAAGATAAAGAAGACAAGGAAAGGAATTCATAGTCAGTAACAAAAAGAGTTAGAATACCGGTATGACATGGGGAAGCGCAAAAGGTAGAGATCTTGAGCCAAGAGATAAGTAGTCGAAAGCTTCAGAATGTTTGAAAGGTTTAGATAGTTTGAGGGGTCTAGATAGTTTGAGACCTTCCAGCCAAGAACTGTCAGTCGAACCTCTCCCAAGGACTCTAAAGCGTCCGGTCAAGGTATCGGAGAATCAAAAGTTTCGAAAGCAATAGGTAAAAGATCGACGAAAGACAAGCGCAACATATTTTCCCACGCTCAATCAAATATAGGCACTCAACCTAGATTTCGTCCCTACTCCAGTAATGCTCTTATTTCCTTCCTTTTCCACATGAAGACTCGTGCTCCCTTGCTTTCTTCATTGGAAAGTGCACCATTCCCCTTCTCAGATGGTGCCTGTCTATTATGAAGCCCCTCGTATCGTTTTTACCCATTTCATAGTCTATGAGCTAGAGGCATGCATACGTTCGCCCTCTTCCCCGCGCATGATGCGTATCTTGGATCATCTACCACATGAATCCACATGAATCTTACACACCAAGTTTCTATCTCTCCCACCTCGCTTGCCAAATTATGGCTAATAATAAATATGAAGTAACTAGAAAATGCCCACAAAGCCCATCATTATCGAGTTACGCCAACATAGAGATGAAAACTTGAAGCTACCGTCAATCTACGGGATATGAGGACATGGAATCTTACCTTTTACGACAAGTCCAAAGGGGTCTACAATCATACATGTCACATAATATTGGGATATTGCATCAGAGAGAAAAATATTCTTGAGGGAGATTTAAAATACATTTGAGTTGACAATTGTAACTCATATATGAAAAGACCACCGAGTTCCGGAAACCCCACTAATGTGATATGAATACAAAATGCTCCTCCTTCACAAGGCATATGGAATTTCGTCGTGTGGAATATGAGACTAAGTCACTGTTACGGCAGTAACGTGTAAGGAAATAGCTTCTAACATTCTGGTACAGGCGTAAAATCCAGCCTATGTTTTCCCCCCTTTTTAAGAAAGAAGAAAAAAACATGATACTCAATGTTAGTATTGATTTTTATGTCAAGTCTACATTTGCATGTGAGAAATATTATATCAAATATTGTGGTTTGTAGAGTCGTCGCAAAATGTCTGAAAGGGTCACCATACTTTAGATTAATGATCTAGACAAGCTTCCGAGGAAGTGTCGATATCGATACTAGAACCGAACAAAACCTCATACAATATCAACGTCCCTCCATCTTCCCAATCGAAATGGTCAAATTGTGCCAGTACTCATACTGGCTCTTTGCATCAATTACAGTATGCTCAAGAAGTCGGGAATTTTGATTTCATCATGCAGTAATTTGCAATGCTATTATGCATTTCCCCGCACATCAACGACGTCACTATCTCATTCCCTCTTCGCATCCCCAAACCATCGACCACAATGTCATTCACAACGACGAAAATATGCCATCGTCTCCGATGGACGAAGTGCAAATCAACATGGAGGATTACAATGGCCTGAAATGACATCCGCATATGCGGTTCCAACACCCTACCAAATCTTCAACCAAAAGAAAGGAGCTCCCTATTCTAAACGACGCTTTTACGAATTGGTTAAACTCTATCATCCGGATAAACATGGCATCGATACGAATGATGGATTGGACTACGATACAAAACTGTCGCGATACAGATTGATTATTGCAGCCAACGATATACTTTCAGACCCCATTAAACGAAGTGCATACGATACATATGGAGCAGGTTGGAATGGACGGCCCGAAGTCCTCGATCCTCGCGATAAACATGGTGAAAATCATGGATGGGCAGGTCCCGGTGGACCAAGTCAAAACGCTACATGGGAAGATTGGGAGAAATGGTACAGCCGTGATGTCAAAGGAGAACAGAAACCTCAATTCGTATCAAATGGTGCATTTGTCTTGTTAATTGCCATTTTTGTGGCGGTAGGTGGATTGGGACAATTGACGAGGTTGGATAATTATTCGGCGAAATTCTTGGAACAGAGAGATACTCTGCATGATAAGATGAGTAAGGATTTGAGGCAGAGAAGGAAAGAGACGAGATATACTTTTGGGAGTAGAGAGGAACGAATACATAGTTTCTTGAGACAGAGGCAAGATCCAAAGGAAGAAACTTATAGGAAATTGTTGCCGAATCCAGAGGTTTGCTCTAGCGAGGATATCAAAGGGAGATCGATGGTGGTTTATCAGCCGCCTAAGAATATAACAAAGGAGCGATGAGGTAAATACTTGAGATCACGACAGGAAACGAGAAATTGATACAGCAGCTTCAGCCACGATGCTCATCTGTGGCGCCACGAAGGCCAAGATACAGTGGAGAGGAAATGTGGACTTATACGAGGCTGCGAGACATATGTTTCTATACATGCTAAGCTTTTGAGTTCTTATGTGAGCGGAGTAGGAGCATTGGGGGTGGTATTTACTTACGGGTATGCCGGACGAATATAGCTTTGTAGACCTAATTATCACTCGAGGTCGCAGCAAGACTAAATGGAAGGTTGGGTCAGAAACTACAAATACATAGAATCAATCAATGACTGAAACGAAACAAGTTATTTCAATAGAACCCATGCACTCACAAGCACATCACATTCACGATTGTTCCGAACCATTGGAGTAAAGTAAAACACAGAACTATTGCCCAGAAATCCTAAACATGCGCATCAACGTGTACAAAGTTGCCCCTCATAACCCTTGTATTCTTTTCGTCATAGCTTCACTCAGCCCTGCGGGGATTGGATATGGATACCTCCAGGGCTACTCACGGTACTGGACATCTGTCACCAACCAAATATATTCGACAAAATCACAGCCACTTTCTATCAGCTGCTGATTCCAAGACCCTTTAACGTACTCCACCTCCAAATTAATTTATATATAAAAAGCATCTATCATCTCATTAAAAAGAAATAGAAAAAGATATTCAAAGTGGCGCACTTTAAAAAGATAATACTATTCTCACTCCCTTTATTTGCATTCTTTGTCGCTCTACTAATCACGCTGCGGAACGGACCTGGAACGTGGGAAATCGTTGGACTTGATCTAGGATCGGGCGAGGAGAGTAAAGGAGACCTAGAAATTATCGGCGAAGGGGAAATAGAACTAGGTTTAGGGGACAACATGGGTGGTGGTAATGGATATCGTGCCGTGGCGTATTTTGTGAATGTATGCGCCTTGTTTCATTCCTTTTCTTTTGTATAATCTGGGGGGAGGATATTGAGGTTCTGAGTGGGTGAGAGATTCGACGCTTCAAAGACATGGGATGAAAATTGGAGGTCCTTTCCAAGGGTCATCCGGACAATGGGAATAGGAAAGAAATTGACCTTCCGGTTTCTCTCTGTCTTAAGATGAGGTGGGACGACGATGCGATGCTGTACAAGTGTACACGATGATCTCGTGATTTTAACGGACAAAGAGAGATGGCAACATTATAACGATAATATGGCAAGACATGTACTAACATCACCCAGTGGGCAATCTACGGCCGCAAACATTTTCCTCAAGATCTCCCTGCCGAGAAATTAACCCATATTCTCTACGCCTTCGCCAACGTCCGTCCAGATTCTGGCGAGGTATATATGACTGACGGCTGGGCCGACACTGATATTCATTTCGAAGGCGATTCTTGGAATGACGTTGGTACTAATTTATATGGTTGCTTGAAGCAACTCAACATCCTCAAATCACGAAATCGATCTTTGAAGATATTGCTTAGTATAGGTGGCTGGACCTATTCCTCCAATTTCGCCCAACCAGCGTCAACGGAGAGTGGAAGGAGAAAATTTGCAGAGAGTGCAGTGGATTTGATAAGGAATTTGGGATTCGATGGAATTGACATCGATTGGGAATATCCCAAGAACGCCGAAGAAGCCCGAGATTACGTTCTTTTGTTGAGAGAATGTAGGGAAGCCATGGACCGTTATTCTAACACTCTCCCTACACCCCACCACTTTGAACTTACGGTAGCATGTCCAGCCGGTCCTCAAAATTACAATAACATGGATATTTACGGCATGAACCAGTATCTAGACTTCTGGAACTTAATGGCATACGACTATGCGGGATCGTGGGATAGTGTTGCAGGACACCAAGCAAATGTGCATGCTAGCCAATATAACCCGAACTCCACGCCGTTTAATACGGAAAATGCAGTTAGGGCATATGAGGCAAGAGGAGTACATGGCCATAAAATTGTACTTGGGATGCCGATTTATGGGAGGGCCTTCCAGGGGACTGAGGGATTGGGACAACCGTTTAACGGGGTGGGAGAGGGTACTTGGGAAAATGGCGTACATGATTTCAAAAAGTTACCACAGGAAGGTGCGAGGGAAATTGTGGATGAGGAAACCTGTGCTAGTTATTGTGAGTTGGACATTTTCTCTACCTGCGTTTTTCAATATTTGATGCCCTTTCTTGATCTTTGGAAGAAAAGTGGTTCTAAGATGGCACTACGGGTGGATGTTTCGATGCGACGAGATAGGAAGGAGACGCTAATGGACCATAAAGCATACAATGAAAATACAAAAACCCTAATATCGTACGACACAGTCGAGGTCGCCCGCAGAAAGGCTCACTACATCAAGCAAAGAGGTCTTGGTGGTGCCATGGTATGTTTTTCCCCAATCCGCTTGCAGCATGACCCTAATCCAAATGAAACAGTGGTGGGAATCTTCGGCCGATCATCCAGAGCCAGAAAAGTCTCTAATTCACAACGTGGTCAACGTTTTGGGCATTTTGGAGCGGAGCGAGAATTGTATTCAGTATCCGGGGAGTAAGTATGAGAATTTGAGGAACGGGTTTTAGCATGGGTAGCCTGGAATAGTTCAAGAAATATGATCAAATGGAGATGGGAAGAATAAATAATTGGACGGTGGAAACGGGTTATTTTAGAACATTGGTTTACTATGAAAATCATTTTTGAACATTGAACTTTCATGGCTCCAAAGAAATTTATAGTAAATGAGGAGTAATGCATTCTTTCAGCACATATAATTCTTTCTCAACATTTGAGCTCAAAAGATACAAGACCATTAGGGGTTCTTCGTCTGACAACATGCTACCTCCACCTAGGCCGCCTGCAGCTACATAAACCAACTGCCATCCCTCTCCCACTCACAGTATTTCGTCCTTGACACTACAATTTTCAACAACACTCTTCCAATACCCCAAAGTTTGACTTTAGTAGATGCCCACTCAAGCAATTCCGTCAAAATGATCACATCATTTAGATACACCCCGTTATTGCTCGAACTCGTTGTTGTCAATTCAATCTTATGACTCAATTTCGAGGATGATCGCCGATCTGGACGCCATGATCCGATGGCCACAAGGAATCGGAGCGCTTACCCTTCTCTCAACCTTTTCGCTCATGCCATTCACATATGAGTAGAGTTAGTGATAAAGCGGGTGCTATATAAACCTCACATCCTGCCCCTACATCTCAACCTTTCCCTTCCAGATAACAGAATCTTTACCACAACCATGTTTGAAAGATCTTGTCAAGCGAGATAGAAAACTATCTAGCTGCTCAACAGATAGTCAATATATGGGCCCGGAATATTATTAAATGAATCCATTCTATCTGAAAGGCTCTTGAATCATCGAAAAAGAGCTTAGAAAATGCCTTCCACACGCCTTTCTCATCCATGCAAGGTCCGCGCTCTTGTCGTTAATTCGTAGATCACGAGTTGGCAAACAACTACCAAACTTCCTACGACACAATAAAGCACCTAGCTAAGCTAAAAAGAAAGTTGCCTACCATACCTGAAGCTCCTTCACGCCGACGAATTTCCTCCTCGGAAGCTCAAATCTTTCGAATGTAGTTCAGAGCTGGTCGGTGTTTGGTGGGGCGGGGACGGAAAAAGGTAGCCGCGATGCTGAGTCATCATAAACTTCACGTTAAACACGCGTATTTTCAAAGCTTCTCTTCGAGTGAGTTAAGAAATGATATGATAGAGAACCTTGATGGGATGATACAAATTATCCGAATCTTCAGAAGACGGCTGGAGGCGAGGCAAGGTAAGGTAAAGCAAGTCTGATTTCCTAAGGCATCAATTTCAATTGAATTGCCATACCAATCGACACCTCATTGCCGCCTCTTCCGTTTTCTCAATATCAAGTTTCAACCCGTCCCGTTTTCTTCTACTTCGACGCTCTTTAAATATTATACGCTAGACTTTTCAAATCCAAATACTCGCAGCGGATTCAGCCTCGGAAGTCAAAAGTTCTGGAATTTTGATTTGTCTAATTTCCACTTTTTGTGTTGGTGGTCTGAGTTCACCAAATTTCTTTTCCACTGCAATACAGACTCATTAATCGAGCTCGATCTTCTGGAGATTTCCTACTGCCATAAGGATCCCAGTCGCCATTCTATCCAAAGAAAGACTTTTGTCCGACCAAATCTTCTCAGTATCTCACCCGTTAATCTACTCGGCTCGAGAAATAATTTGATCACCTAAGGTAGCAACTAATTACTCAGTTTATTATGCTACAGTCGCAAGCTATATCCAGATCTGTTCGAATCTCCTTCACAACCAAAATCATTGTACCAAACGACACACCAAAAGACCCAAAGTCTTCTTCTGCAGCTACAAGCGCCAAGTTCATCTAGCAAATTGCAGAAAACCTTTCTCTATGCGAGCGAGGAATCATATCTTTCGAAAGCCTCCTTCAATAACTACAGTCATCAATCCTTCATATACCTAAGCTCCTTGTTTTTTTTTTAAAAAAAAACCATCACAAATATGTCTCTAACCACGAGAATGAATGGCTACTTCCGTGAGCGGAGCCAGCGCGCTCGAGGACTTCATCTTCTTAAGCCCTCTATTACTCTTCCGCGCGGCGTCTTAGATGGGCCCAGACGAATAATTGACCCAAATTCCGGTCTAGTATCTCAGGAAACAACCTCACGGGAACTCCAAGTCTCGGATTATCATTGGGATTCTCAATTTGAGTAACTTGGCCCCTTCTCTCTCACCACTTTTTTCTCATAAGATGGAATCTGACAGACATTTAGGGAACTTCTAGAAGCAAATTGGGAAGAATCTGACGACGATCAAGAGTTCACTGCTGGAGAAGCAATCGTCGCACAATTTAGACGCGGAAAACCTTGTGTGCCACGTTTAATGCAACTTTCGGTCGATTCGATTGTAAAGAACATTAGCAGTATTACCTATGAAAGCATCAAGAACATGCCTTCAACGCAGCTCGAGTTTCTTTGGCGGGAGCTGTCAAAGAGGTTAGTTTTAGTATTCTTTCTTCTTACTCTACTCTGAAATGGAGGATTACTGCAAGGACCTGTACAGTCTTTATTGTAGGGCACAGAATTACAGATACTTGACAATTATCTTGCATACAAGTACTGAGTTTAACTGATCTCTTGGGTGTAGATGTGTCAACAGTTTTAATACTTGGAAGGCTTTTTCAAAAGCTCTCGATCGACAAGAAGGTGCCATTTTAAACCAATTTCGATACAGTGGTTCTGTCGCAGAGCCAATCCCGTCCTTATCTGTCTACACGAAGCCACTCAAATCAGATACTTTCGACTTTCTTGTACACTTATCTATTACCACTGCTTTCAGTACTTCGAATCTGGTCGAATTATCTACACTTGTTAACTTGATAGCTCTCGAAATTTCTAATTCAAAGCATGATAATCGTGTAAGAACTGCCGGTAAGCAGTTCGATACGAGCTTCGGAGACAGAGTAATCAAAACCTGGAGCGAAGTGGCAGCAAAGGGAAAGGGATTCAAAGTCTTGAGAATCTTAAAGCTTCGAAATTTCCTGGAAATCACAAATAATTGCTTCCCATACCTAAACGACTTTCCTGCTTTAGCTGTTTTCGACGTCATGGACTGTGATTTCAATGGATTGGCTCAACTCAGCGCTGAGAAACTTGGCTGGGAAGTACATCCTGATGGAGCATTACTCGAAATCTTGCAGTCAGATTGTGTAAAGCATATTATGGCTATGCGCGCAAGTCTTGGACTTCCTGTAAGTCGTTTCTTTCAACCCTTGAACCCCTTTTTCTCTTGAAAGAATCTCGGTAATAGTCTGAGCACGGACCTTTATGTTCTGAATTTCTCTGAACTTGCTCGAGCACGTGCTTTGCATATGCTGTTTCAACAAAACAATTGCTAACAACAATTATCACAGGCCAGACCAATCCGTAGATCCACTGCCAAACCTCTATGGCATAAAGCCAAAATTACAATGATACCTCGGGCAGATGTACCAACCTTACTTACAGGAGGATCTCCGTCCGCAGCACGAAATAGCGCGTACCTTCACGCCGAAGAGCAAGTAAGAGCAATGGAAAGAACCCCTGCTGGCCGCGCCAAACTCAAGAGAACCGGTCTCTCCCACTTTGAAGCTGTGGATTATATCAGTCGTAAGGAATATCGTGAGCTTGAAACTTGGGAATTCCGTACCCTTACCTCTCTCAATCGAATCAGCGAGCTTCGCAACGACGAAGATTTGCGTGCCGTTGGCCTAAACATCGGCGAATTTGTTCCTATGGTCTCCGGAGAACTCATATCTTCTATTCCAATTGCTTCTCTTCGTCTCGGTCCAGAGTTACTCTATACACCATCGCGGGCGGATTTGCATCAGCCATTTTACGATGGCGGATTGAGTGATAGATCGCTCAAATACACTAGCAAAAACCTCGGAGCTGGCGCAAAGGGTTACGTTTGTACACGTATCACGATACCTGTTGCTAGGACTAGAACTGGACAACAGGCCGACGAGACGATGGGTGACGACGCTAGTGGCCCAGGATCTCGACCAAGCAAGCGTAGGAAGGTTAGAGGAGATAAGAGGCAACAAATAGGCGATCTCTTGGCGGGAGTTATGGGGGTTATATGAACTCTGGAGCTTTTCTCGAAATTTAGGGTGGAACTTGGCGTATGCTTTCTTCTAGAAGGTCGGGTTCAGAACCTTTCGGGGGATTTTGGCGAATCTTGGTGAATTTCAAATTTTCTTTTGATAGTTGTAGGAGTTCTTTCATTCGCGTAGTTCAGAATACCCAAGTGAATTTTATATCATAGACTCAAACAATAACTATCAATTGCGTAGCACATATCTTGTGTCAATCTACAATATCTAGTGTTGGATAGCATATGTGAATTTCCAGATGGAATATATATTTAGGCGTGATGTCCATGCATCTACTGATATACCCAACCAGATGTTTCTAGAGATTTTGTCTAATACAGACCCTACTACAGACTATGTGTAGATACCAGAGTTTGATTGTAACCTTATCTCATTACACGTAGAATCCTCTGACACTTCAATATCTGTGTCCAATCTGGCATCAAAAACATGTCTTCGGCTGATGCTGCAGGGTAGTAGTTAATCATGGTCCTTAAGTTGAGTAAATGAACATTATTAGCTTTTAAATGTTGTGTAAGAGCTTTGAGTATACATACTGCTGAGTCAAAATCACAGAATCCTATCCAAACCATAAGAGATTGAAAGTCGATGACGAAGGGTTGACTCCAAATAATGTAACAGATTTTTTTAACACATTGGACGATAGGCTTCTTTAGTCTAGATTAAACTAGATGATTGAGGGATTGGCAACCTAGAGGTAATTTACTGGGCCCGGAAAGATCTAGATATCTCTCAATTTCTTATTTCAGATCTGATAATTGATGATCTTGTGTGAACTATTTTTTTACTCTAATTCAATTCAGACTTATACGCACAGAAGGGAAACAGAGAGGCATGCGGAATGAATTGATCATAATTATTTTCTTCTATCTTTCCAAATAGATATCAATCACAATACTAAATCGATTGAATCCCTTTAGTAAAAGAATGTTTAACTTTCAAACATTCCATCGCACTGAATCAAGATATGATTCCCTATCGCCGGGTAAGCCGAAGAATAAGGCATGGGAGAGGAAGAAGCATTGCAATCATCATTAACGTGATACATGTTTCTTTTATATTCGATCTTCATGAGTTGATTAGTACTACTGGCGGTATTGGCCCCAGGATGAACAGCCAACTTTTTGCTGACATAGTAGCCTTGCTATGCATATATCAAGAACAGCCACACTAAGAAAATCGGAGTCCACAAGGAAACCGTGGCACACTTGAAATTTATGAGGCTACAATGACATACCGATGCATAGGCAAGGCTCTTTTTGTGGCATGATTACACCAGTAAAACGCCTTCTAGATAAAGTAATACAACTCAGACAGAAATATACACCGAGGGGTAAGCTGAAGCCCGCTAGTTTAAATCTCATAAGGTATATCGCTTTTATACCCTTCGAGACATTTGTTTGATAATCGCCCAGCTCTACACCTTTCAGATAGTAAAGTTACAGCATTTAATCACATCAGATTCAGCCAGGGAATTTGTTTTCGGATCATACCTTCAGCATGCGGAAGCCTGCAAGGTGCGTATATAAAACAATAGGCCACAGAAGTTATTATTCATAAGTTTCGCGCACTACTTTCACGCCAGTTTATCAGAGCCTCAATGTCATTTCAATACAGCAAAGAAACCATGGATCCACAAAAATTACAACAAAAGCTCATGGGACCCAATGTATCGGTTCCAGATGATCTGAGAGAGATATGCAGATCAAGTAGAGAGTCTACAGAGACTCTGAGTAGGGAAAATGCAAGCAAACTTATGCGAAGATCAAAGACACCGAACAATCTCGAAGCCATCCATTCAATGAGGAATAATAAGGCTATCTGTCAAAATCCGAGCGAACAGCCACTTGACGGTAAACCAACTGATACTAAGATGACTGATTCATCTCGTGAAGCGATAGCTGAGAATCCAATCTTTGAAGAATCGACTTATTATCATACGTCTGTTATCCAATCATTCAAAAATACACTTTCATATCTTCTTCGCCCAAGAGTCCGTGAAGGCGATCAGAGGATCAATTGGACTTGTGTGAGTAATCTACTGCTTGAAGTATAGTGATATCTTAACTTGAATTATTAGGAATGTGGCGGGCAACTCTGCGGATTTCAAAGCTAAATCGCCAGAAACCATGCGAGACATACATGCGATACTGCATAGCGTCTCAAGCGCAGCATTATATGAGGTCCGAGCCCTTCGGACTGGAGCAGGTCGACATTTTCGTATCAGAGCATTCTCTAACATTCCGAATTCAGAGGCCTCATCTAGTGACCATCATGCTTCCTCAGTCAAGAATACCTCTCCATCCACATCGCAAGTGTTGACAACATTAACGCCAAAATCACCAGCATTCGTCTCTACGATATCAACTTCTTCGTCATTGATCTTATCAACACCAACATCTTCCGTATTGACCTTATCAACTTTGACAGAAGCAACCTTTCTGGAACTCTGTGTAAACGTTGGTGAGAATCTCAAAAGACTTGGCGAGATTAATCTCGTTGGTGCAAAACTTGACGAGGATATGTTCGAACGGATCCGTGAAAAATACTTTGAGTTGCGCGGCGCGCGCTCCAAACTTTGGCTTCTCAAACCAGCATCTGTATATTTCGTACGGGTATGTGCTTAAACATTTTATCATTGCAACTGCTAACCACAAATACTAGTTTTCTGTAGAGCAACGTCATCGCGTCGGTACTCTACAAACACCACTTTCTTTACCACCCAAAATAGAGGTAGATCATGACAGCTGGATATACCATCCATGTCCACTTGATGAAGGAGAGCTTCCTGTTCCGGAGAATGTTATCTTACACTATCTGAAATGCACCAGTCCTACAGGCATTCTTTTCTGGATGAGAAGAGTCCCACGAAAATGCAAAACAAGTATACTTGATAACGGAGCTGCACCAATTGCTTTGGGATGGGGAATCCATATTGATGAAGGCCCGAATTACAAAGTTATCTTCTTTATAAACTTTGTGGCGCTAGTGATAAGCGGCATCATAGCTTTGGCATGGTCACTTGCCAAAGAAGATTTTCAAGGTGCTTTCGGCTTCGCGAGTTGGTTTATAGCTTCCGTGAACGCACTTCTGCTGACGCTTATGTATTGGTTAAACGAGTAAATCTCATAGGCTCTACATTTTCAAAGGCATGGTTGTTGTATTTGTAGTGGAGAATTAGATTATGTTAATATGATATTTTATTATCAAGGTTCAAGAGGATGATAGACAACAGGTAAAGTCCGGATGATTAGCCTCCAACATTAAGTGTGAGGTCCCATGCTATAGAAGGATGAACAGGCGAGATATATACAATAAGGTATAAATATGACCTACCTTACTTAAATTCCTGTAAATTAACGGGTCCATGAATAAACTATCCAGCCATGGAGCATATCACAATGAGCATGCATAAGCTAGCCCGCTTGTTGCGTTGTACAAACGTTTTACAAACGTTGAAAGTCGGGTTTGATGTTTAGACACACGGCTTTTATACGCTAGTTTAGCTACAGGAATGCTATGTGTATCAGCTATAACTATTTGCGATGTTCACAGATTCAGTACCTCTTGAAACAATAGACCACCCCTCAATTTCTGAACTTGCGCTGTATCCGCAAAACAAACAGTAGAAGCACTGGAAACAATGATGAACACTTTGTCTTCTCCTATAACTCCATGTGATATTCCGCCAACTGACCATTTCTAACATTGCCAGCAGCATCAAACAACGAGGTTTCGGGAAGTTCACGTGTCCTCATATTATCCAAAAGCTCCTCAAACACTTCCCCGACAATCTCACGTTGGAGTAACCCTAAATGCTCCATTTGTTCTTGATACTTTCCAATCGAGGGGAGATCCCCGATCAATCGACGCAAACCCGATCCAGCGTAGGTAGCCTTGTAAATGGCCTCGATTTGGTGCGGCATCATGAATGAAAAGTCTCGTAGATGTATTAAATGATCCATTGCTGCATTGAAAGCAACGGGAAATTCCCAACACTCACAAAGTAGACACAAGTGCACAACGACAATTGCCCAGGTCTCATTGAATAAAGGTTTGTGCTCCCTCTTAGCCTCGCTCAATATTGTATCCATCTGGTCTTCTTGCAACCATCGCAGGAACAACTGTAAAGGAATTTGGAAACAATCATCGAGTACATAAGGTTCATCATGGGTACAGTGCAAGCCCAAGTCATTGAAAAACGTGTTTTTAGTACTCACACGTTTGTTCTCGACGTGATATATTATTGGGAGTCGCTTGCCTCGAAATTTGACATAGAATGGAGACCAATTCCTGGCGAAGGGGGAACTGTAGATGAGATTGTGTAAGCATGAATGTAACAGGGCGGTAGAAATCTCATGTACATTAGTAAATCATTGAAAGGATGACTTGATTCCATTGTGCCTTAAACAATCCAGCAATGTGAAGGAGATATCTGTGTTATTGGATTTTATAATCTCTTGGTTCCAAAAAGTAATTTGATATGAGAACGGGTTCTTAGCAGAGATGCTGAAAGTATTTGAACAGCAGAAAACACAAGTACTGCACTTCTCTCGGCACGTCTCTCGTGGTACCTCTCTTTTGATTATTTTCATTACATTATCGAAAGGAAAGGGGGACCTTTGAATAGTGCATTCAATATCAAGGTGGTTACTGCCTTCGAATTCCACAGGTAAGTTGAGTGATCCTACGGAATTCGAGTGAGAAAGGAGGCCGGCATAACATTTCGTTACTGTTCTGACATTGAGTATACAGATAAGATGAATTCGAATCTTATTGAAGTTTAGTTAACAAGAATTCCGAGAGTTCGAGAATATTTCCCAATCATTACATCTTCTTGGGGTAAGAATTTGGCAGGTGGAGTGGATTAGATTAGGTACTTCACGAATTCGTCAATCCTTATCAGCTTATCTTAGCGCATAATCGCGAAAAGGGGACTGACTGATCGCGTCGAACGCGTAGGATGTTTAAATTGATTTTCGGTTCGAGGCTTATTATAAGTTACTTCCAATAAAATATTGGGAATTGCGAATACATACACGAACCTCATTATGCCACATTCTGTTTCCCCGAAGAACCCTCGATACAATCACAAGACAATATGTCCGATAACGAAGAGATCCGGGACGACGCACAAATGAGTCAAGAAGCAGAGGCTGCGTCTGCCAACACGCAGGTTGCTGAGTTGAATGACGACGAAGATATTACAATGGCAGATGCTGGAGTTCAAGGCGAGGCGATACCTCAGGCGGCTGCGAAAACCGAGCCCAATTTATTAGAATTCTTTCCAGATACAGAGTTTGACGATGAATTTCCAAGTATAAATGCGAAAGAGGAAAAGCTGTCGAGCTCACCTGAAGCGCCAGCTTCCCCAGTGTAAGTATTGAAAGCCGTGTACCAGGCACGGAAGCTAAGTAGATATCAAGAAATATAGGTCCTGCATCGCGAGCATCAGATCCAGAAGTTATGCGATCCTTTTATCAGAGACTTTTCCCTTGGCGCCACTTATTTCAATGGCTTAATCATTCTCCGACGCCCTCAACCGACTTTGGACATCGTGAATTTGCCTTCACCCTTCAAAACGATGCATACTTGCGATACCAAGCATTCCCAACCTCCGATCTGTAAGTGATGGTGTATCATTTAGGCCCACTTACGCTAATAAACTTCAGTCTACGTAAGGATGTCCTTCGTCTCATGCCGTCCAGATTCGAAATTGGTCCAGTGTATAGTACAAATCCCAGGGATCGCAAAACACTTCGCAAGTCTTCCGCCTTTCGACCAATAGCAAAGGAGTTATGCTTTGATATCGATTTGACGGATTACGACGAGATCAGAACGTGCTGTGACAAAGCAAATATCTGCAACAAGTGCTGGCAATTCATTACGATGGCCATCAAAGTGGTTGATGTTGCGCTACGAGATGATTTTGGTTTTAAACATATCATGTGGGTATACTCTGGAAGGAGAGGAGCTCACGCTTGGGTATGCGACAAGAAAGCTAGGCAAATGGACGACCAGAAGAGAAGGGCTATTGCCGGATATCTAGAAGTCATTCGAGGTGGATCGCAAACTGCGAAAAAGGTTAATGTGAAAAGACCATTGCACCCGCATGTATTGTATGTACATGTGCACTTTAATTGTTCCTTTTACTAATCTGAAGTAGACGAAGTCTTGATATACTCAAAAGTCACTTTCAAAACGACATCCTTCACGATCAAGATCCATGGGAGGAAGACGATAAAATCGACAAGTTATTACAGCTTCTACCTGACAGAACACTCAATGAAAGTTTACGGAAAAAATGGAGCTCTGCTCCTGGACGGTCATCAACGTCAAAATGGGCCGATATTGATGCATTGGCAAAATCCACCAAGGGTTTGGATCCAAGAGCCTTACTGGAAGCCAAGCAAGATATAGTTCTCGAATACACGTACCCTCGACTCGATATCGAAGTCAGCAAACACCTCAACCATTTACTCAAAAGTCCTTTCGTCGTACACCCAGGCACAGGAAGAGTGTGTGTTCCTATAGATACTAGACATCTAGTGGACTTTGATCCTCTTGCTGTACCAACTGTGACCGAACTTCTTGGCGAGATCGATCAGTGGACGCCACCTGAAGATGGGGATACGGATGGAAAAAGCATACAAGATTGGGAGAAAACGAGCCTGAAGCCATACGTAGACTACTTCAGATCATTTGTCACTGCTCTGATGAAAGACGAAAGCGATGTCAAAATCAAAAGGGAGCGAGAGACAGATGCGATGGCATTCTAAATTTGTGGAATGTCATCCCAGTCTTTGGCGTCATAGGTAGGTAGTGCTTTTGGCATGGATATACTTGGTATATGGATAATAAATGAGAAATGAATATTAATCCGAATAATATGATGCTAAAGTAGAAAGATCTCTATTACATTGCAACTTCTCATCATATTACTTGTGATACACTTAGCTATGAGATTATTCCACAACTGCTTATGGGTTTTGCTGCGTCAGGAGCAACACTTGCCTTGGTCTGAGCCTTTCAGGAAAATCAATTGCCCTTCGATGTCATTGATTGCTTCATAAAATAAACCTACTTGTGTCTAATCTGTACGTGTATTGAGTGAATTCGTATTCAGGTAGGTCCACCGTACATACATCAAGTATAAAACAGAGGGTCAAATTGTACGGTTCTTGATAAGTGCTTCTTGATGGGCGAATTCAGTGTTCTATGAATGTATCGAATTCGAATATTCTCAACCGTTGATTACTTAGGTAGCTATTACTAGATACTACCTAGATGTTATTGTTATAAGGTGAATGTATATACCAGCCTGTGTACCGTACGTGTTACTTATTATTAACCCCTCCTCGAGCCCTCCTATCCTCATTAGTCCTAATCTTAAAAACATTACATCACGTGTGCCGTACCAAAATTACTTGGTAGCCTTTCCATTCTAGCCCTCCCGCCTGCCCGCCTGCCGAAAGCTTTTAGGAGCCACACTAAACCTTTAAAGTTTCTCTGATCTTCCTTTCAATCCAAACCACCTCACCTCACCTTACCTCACCTCAACTCAACCCAAATCAGCCCTTGAAGAATTCGAAATAAACACACAACCACCCACAACTCACAACCCACCAACTACCATACCATAACAACGACCGTCACAGAACTTCAGATCTCTACCTAAACCAGATCTTCGACTACAATACTCAATTCAATTCATGCGCACAATCCTGCAGACAAGAAAAAGCATAAATACATACGCTCAATAACCCCACTACAAATACATCACAAACAATCAACAATTTCCTCGAGATCAACAACCACCCCTCAACTCGATAATAACTCGTATATTCTCATCCTTCAAGATCAACATCATTGCGGCCTTCCTTTCCACCGGCCTTCTCTAGTGTTATACTATTTTATGCTGAACTAATTGCATACGATCCAAGACGAATTCCAATAGAACGCGACCTTACTTTCGCGCCCCAACACCACATCTCATACATTTATGCTAAAGATACCCTCTCCCAACAAAAACTACATATACAATGGCTGATGAGCTGGCAAACAAGCTAGCGGCTACTAAGATCAAGTATGATCGTCCACTCCTTGGATATCTTTAATTGTCACTGATATGAGAATAGTGATAATGCTTCCTCGGACAACTGGAAAGCTGGTCTTAACATCCCAGTAAAAGACACGAGGCAACAGACAGAGGTACTCAAACATATTTTTCTCTACTTGATGTTTCGTTAAAGTCGCTAACATATATATGTAGGATGTTACCGCCACCAAGGGTCTCGAATTCGAAGATTTCTCCATCAAGCGAGAGCTGTTAATGGGCATTTTCGAAATGGGTTACGAGAAGCCATCCCCAATTCAAGAAGAGGCAATCCCCGTGGCCCTTACAGGTCGAGACATACTGGCTAGAGCGAAGAACGGTACCGGTAAAACTGCCGCCTTCGTCATCCCTGCACTCGAACGTATTAATCCCAAAAACACCAAAGTACAATGTCTCATCCTGGTACCCACTCGGGAACTAGCTCTTCAAACTTCACAAGTCTGCAAAACTCTTGGTCAGCATCTCGGCATCAACGTTATGGTTACTACTGGTGGTACTACCTTACGAGATGATATCCTGCGTCTCCAAGAGCCCGTTCACATTATCGTCGGTACACCTGGTAGAATCCTTGATCTAGCTGGAAAGAATGTAGCCGACCTCAGTGAGTGCAATATGTTTGTCATGGATGAAGCTGATAAACTACTCTCACCTGAATTTACTATCGTCATCGAACAATTACTTCAATTCCATCCAAAGGACCGACAAATCATGCTCTTTAGTGCAACATTCCCAATGACGGTCAAAGACTTTTCGGATAAGAACATGGTCGACCCCTACGAAATCAATCTTATGGACGAGCTCACTCTGCGCGGTATTACTCAGTTTTATGCATTTGTCGAAGAGAAAGAGAAAGTGCATTGTCTCAATACTTTGTTCTCAAAATTACAAATCAACCAGTCGATCATCTTTTGCAACTCTACAAATCGAGTCGAACTTCTTGCTAAGAAGATTACCGAATTAGGCTATTCATGTTTCTACAGTCATGCTCGTATGATTCAAGCCAACAGAAACCGCGTTTTCCACGACTTTCGAAATGGTGTTTGCCGCAACCTTGTTTGCTCCGATTTACTCACTCGTGGTATTGACATTCAAGCTGTGAATGTCGTTATCAACTTCGATTTCCCTAAGAACGCTGAAACTTATCTTCATCGTATCGGTAGATCTGGCCGATTTGGACATCTCGGTCTAGCAATCAACCTCATCAGTTGGGAGGATCGCTTCAACTTGTATAATATCGAGCGTGAACTTGGGACAGAGATTGCTCCAATTCCACAAATTATCCCGAGGAACCTTTATGTGTACGAGACTCCCGAAAACATCCCCCGTCCAGTATCCAACTTCCAAACCAACACCCGTCAGGCATCAGGACCAGGACGTGATCAGCAACAACCCACACAGCACTCTGGGAATCAGAGAACTGGTGGTCAATATAACAATTATAATAATGGACGCCAGAGTGGCCCAGGCCAAAACCAGAGTCAAGGACAAGGACAAGGGCAGGTACAAGGACAAGGACCGAGACAAAACCAAGGTCAGCGTCAAAACTATTCCAGGGGTCGAGGCGGATTTGGTGGTGGTAGAGGAAGCGGTCAAGGACCACGACAGAACGGTTACGACAACTCAAGAGGAGGTCGAGGCCAGGGTCCTCCACCAGCTCAATAGGCTTATGTTCCAACCGTATTACACGTGATGATGATGTTTGGAGTTTTGTACATATAACCTTCTATTCCCTTTGCGATAGACTCGATTTTACGACGGACATGGCTGCGGGATTTTTTTGCTCTCGACGTTGAGCTGTTTCTGGATGCATCCCACTACTCGACTTGACGTTTGATTCGGGTCATGAATTTCTTCAGCTGTCGCTGAGTTTTCGTGTTTGTATCATACGACTCTCGTTTTTCAATTTTCTCTCTTTCATTTTTTCGACAGATAACTACTTTGGGTCGCATGAGTAGTAGCGGATAGCAAAAGTTTCAGCGAATTCGCTCTGGTATGACGGCATGGCGTAATGGGAGGGCGTTCAATGAAGGTACTCGCAGGAGAAACTTTTCTAGTCTAGACCGGTTCTGCTGTAAAGGCATTTCTGGAATGGGCGATGGGTAAATCTATTTTCTTCATCTTATGGGCTCATGGTAATGAGCATTTGATGAATGGGTGGTGACGGGCGTGCCAACGGGTGGACGATTTGTTTGTTGGGTTAATGTTAGTAAAGATGATTCAATCAACAATGACTCACGGCTGGCATTGATGACAAGCGGAGAGCAGGAGATCGCGCTGCTGAGAGTGCTTTACAATGGCAATGATGGTCACTTCTCACACTCTCGAAGTGGGGAGCACGACATCTTGGGATGAGGGGTGTTCACAGAAAAATAACAAAAAAAACTTTAGGGAGGAACCTACGATATTGATGTTAGTTTGGATCGAGCATGGACTTGATAGCTTTCATCATCTTCAGACAATACTATTCTTTCTCTCTACTTCCATCTCGATGAGTATGATGATGATATTGATTTACATGTGATACTGTAGTACCGCATTGAACTTGGATATATATGACGGTTTGAAACATCAAAGTTTATATGCAGCAGAGCCCCTTACATGATGTTACGCACATATGCATGCCGGTCGGTCGGTTTGTCATGTACATGGAAAGTGGCGGAGAGTATGAAATTCCAATTTCTGGTTTCAGTATCTGATGTACACAGGGATTAAACGGAAGCTGCAACCTCTGATGTACAAAGTGGATCCGAGCTGAGGTAACCATAGCTAGCACGGCAGTGAGGCAATGAGCACACGTACATGTACTTATTCTTCCGTGTCGGTCAATTCGCTGATGAGTGATGTTACAATACATGGCCTTCCCACTCCATGGATCAGGAATTTTGGAGGGCCATCATAACAGAGGGTCGCAAAATGTTACCTCGGGGTTCTGGCCAAATACTCGTGGCTGAGCTGCTAGGTGATGCGAAATGACTCCCTTGGATTTGATAGAACAGATGAGCGCATGAGAATAAATAGAACGAAAAGGTACCACGAGACACCAAGAAGAACTAAGGGCATGAAGTGCGCATGGCGATAAGGGAAACAAATGAATGGAAGGGCTAGAAGGGAGTAAGGAGAATTCATTTTTCGTCTGATGTCTCACTTTTCGAGAAAGTTCTTCTTGATGTTCTTGAACTTTTTGAATACCTAATATTGATGTGTATTCTTGTTTTCGATGGTACAACGTACGTGGTTAGCTAAATGCAAATTCATCTATCGAGGAAATGAGGGAATGATCGATATCAATATGTGGTCTTAGATGTGTCTATTCTTGTATAAAAGTACTCGGTGTGTTTAGATTATACTCGTATATTGATGGGATGTAGATTAAGAGGATGCTTGTGTACGAATAGTAACTAAATAGATGACGCGCCGCTGGTCTTCCGGTGGCCACTGCCGTGGAGAGACTGACGGCGCGAGATGCGAAATGCAATTTATATCTTCAATTTTTGAGCGTAGCGAGCTATAGGGGTTTGAGAGTTTCCCCTCGATGTTGCACCTTCGCATATTGAACATGATTTGAGCGGCCAAGGATGCTCAAAACGGTAACATAGAATACTTTCTCCATCCCGCCTTCCACTTGATTGGATTGTAGATCCCCGCATGCTTCTGATAAATAGA